TTGAGTTCTAGTTCTTTTTCAGCTCTGAAGGAGGAACTTATTTATTTGCGTATCGTAATATCGTTTTGCTTAAAATATTTTTCTACTTGTAACACAAACATCGCCTTCAGCTTTCCTCTGCTCTGAAACGCATGACTATCTTGATGATGGATCATGTTTTATTATAAGAGATTACGCAACTTGTTTGCGTGTAAACAAGCCTGTTGCGTATACTTAGTTTCTACGCTTTCTTCACACGAAACCAAATACTAGTGTCTTGACAAAAAAAAAAAAAGAAAAAGAAAAAGAACGAACAGAACAAAGATATAGAAACGACGCAAATAAGTCACGCCGAATATTCGAATCAGGTTGCGTCGTGGCGAAAGGGTGAAAATTTAGGAGACTATAAGGGTACTATAAATTACAATTAATGTGCTATGGCTTGCACTATTAATTGTAACTAACAAAGCTAAGGGAATTTTTATTTATTTTCCAGTGTGTGTTATGAAATCTGTTTGATTTTCACTTCCTCCTAGAGAGATAATTGATAATTGTCATGATAATTGTCATTCCGCTGCACATGAAATTTAATTAGACGCAAAATGCGATGTGCGCGGAACAACTTAACAACTTCGAAAACGTCGAAAATATCAAGGAAATACGAAAAATTTCTAAATGCTAATAACGCTAGACGAGATATAAACGAAACCAAAGGAAAAGAGAGCGAATTTGAATCTTCCTTAAGTGATCGCAGATTGTTGCAGTATTGATCAGATCAAACGATAGCGAACAAAGAAGAACAATTGCGTTTGTGCGAAATGAAGGATGGAGAGCATGACAATGTAAATATAAGGATCTACAGGATCTATAATGATATTCTTGCTGTCTATGAGGCAGATGTGAACATCCTTGTATCCTTGTAAGGATGTGAACATCCTTGAACATCCTTATACGCGTCGTATAAGGATACACGATTCACGGATAGTATTCTATCTTATACACGTCCATGAATTAGATATATATAGCCACATAATTTTGAAAAAAAAAATTTGCAAATCAAAATATGTCTAATCGATATGTATTCAAATAGAAAAATTGAATGATAAACGCATTAAAAGATCGCTGTCTGCGTGCGATAACGAGAGAAAGTATTATCCAGAGACAAAACGGATCGAGGAGGAGATTAATATAAAAATTAAAAAAAAAAAGACATGAATATAATGTGTCTGAAGATATTGCAGAGAATCCCTCGTTTTTGGACGGTCTCAAAAGATTTTGGATGATGGATCTGAACCTTTATGATGTTTAGGCTATAAAAAGTAGCGAGAGAATATACTGAATTCTGAATATACTGAAATTTTCTGAAAAGCTACTCTCATCCTCCATTCGAATAGAAAGATGAGAGAAAAGGATATAAGAGATCCGGAAAAGTATTTTTACAAAAAAGTCTGTTAATTTTTGAAATTATGATGCACTCGATGTACTTGTCG